TATTTTGAGAGCAAGTGGGGGAGGGGTAGAGAAAGAGAGGGAGAGAGAGAGAATCCCCAGCAGGCTCTGTGCTATTAACACTAAGTGGGGCTTGAGCCAACAGACTGTGAGATCATCACCTGAGCCGAAATCAAGAGTCAGACACTTAACCAACTGAGCCATCCAGGTGCCCTGGCTTTAAGTTTTATGTTTTAAAAACATTATTCTGACTGCAGAGAATAGTTGGAGGAGGACATGAAAGGAAATGTAGATATTTAACTGACTGAGCCACCTAGGCACCCAGAAAATGTAGATATTCAAGGGAACGCGTGCAATGATCAAATTGAAGGATGATGGGAACTTGGCATAGGGTGAGAGTAATGGAAATAAAAAAGATTCAAGATCTATCTGAAAGGTAAAAGCAGCAGGACTTGGTGATGGATTGGATGGGGGCAGTGGGTGGAGAAGACAGAGAAGGAAGGTAAAGAAAAAAAATACATTAAGGATACTGCCTGGATTAAGGCATGATTTGCTCACAAGGGAAAGAGGAGGGGAGGAATTTTTTTTTGCTGTTTTTACTGGGAAGGTGGTGACAGAGTTAGAAGACCAAATATTTATTAACAATTTATTCCAAATAGCAAAAATGTTATTTATATTTGGGTCTTGTTATTATGATTTTAAAGAATTCTAGCCTGAAAATTAGCATTTGTCAGACTTCATTTTAAGTTAGATCCTCCAGGGGCATCTAGGTGGCTCAGTTGGTTAAGCATCCGACTTCGGCTCGGATCATGATCTCACGATTCGTGGGTTTGAGCCCTGCGTTGGGCTCTGTGCTGACAGCTCGGAGCCTGGAGTCTGCTTAGATTCTGTGTCTCCCTCTCTCTCTGCCCTCCCCCACTCATGCTCTATCTCTCTCTGTCTCTTATAAATGAATAAATGTTAAAAACAAAATTTTAATTAGATCCTACAGCGGAGTGCCTGGGTGGCTCAGTTGGTTACATGTCAGACTTTGGTTCAGGTCATGATTTCATGGTTCGTGGGTTCGAGCCCTACATCGGGCTCTGTGCTGACAGCACAGAGCCTGGAGCCTAGTTCAGATTCTGTGTGTGTGTCTCTTTCTCCATAGTAAATAGACATTAAAGAAATCTTTTCAAATAAATTAGATCCTCCAGTAACTAGAAAGTACTTTCTCCAAATAATTTTCTTAACACTGTCTTCCAAATAATCACAATGATCTTCTCACTTGTGCTATCCTATACTCAGGAAAGAGTCAGTAGGCAGTTGTAAAATGTGTAGACCCTATGAGATTCTCCTAGTTAAAATGATGTCACTAACATGGCAGGTTAAGTATGTGATCTACGTCTCCACATTAAGGGAGAGTCAAGGGAGGAAGAAATCTAGGCCTGATCAAAACATCTCAGGTTATGAGTCCTGAAATTTCCTAATTTCAATATATTTTGGAAGCTTAAACCGTTGGTCGTTTCCTGAAGGATGAAGAAGAGATTCAAGATCTATTTGGCAATTAAAAGGATGTGATGATGAATTAAAAGGGGGAGGTGGTGAGGAAAGACAGAGAAGGAAGGGAAGGAAGGGAAGGGAGAGAAATACTCCAAGAACAGCAGGTGGGACTTTTGCAACAGCCATGCATTCCTTTGACATGGGGGCACTTTGAAGAGGCACCTTCTGCCAGTAGGTGTGTGGGTGAGTAGGGTGGAAAAGGTCTAGAATAGATCTTGAAACTGTCAAATCTATAGATGATTATCTGGCTCACAGATCATATTTGTTGAGACCATACAATAATGACCTACTCATGAAAATCTAAGTTTCTGGCTTCTTATGAAAATTTGGAAGATCAGTCACATGGGCCCCACCTTCTCAGAAGCCAGCCACAGGCTTATTCTAAGTGATGACTGTGCCCTCAGATAGGCACTCATCTGTTCTAATCCTCACTGTCCCTCATCCAGCCACTGCACTCGATTCCATTATACACAAGCATGTGAATCTGTGACTCTAAGTCTACAACATGGAGTCCAGAGGGCCCTTCCTTGTGAGATGGGATGCTGCACAGTTCCTGAATGGTTGAATAAAGCCAATTAGATCACGATGATAACAATAATAATAATAACAATAATAACAACAATAAATAAAACATGGAGTCTAGCAGCAAGACCGAGGCTACACTGGAGGGGATGACACAAGGGCATTTCTTTGGGAAATGAAGGGAGGAATGAGCAGGAAGCTACCTGGGAAAGTGAAAATCAGCTTAGCTCATTTGTCGACTATGCCTGGGAATGATTTTACCAAACAATGAAAAACCTTGGAGAAAAACTCTCTGGGCACAGCAGAATCCCTCACCCCAGGGACACTGACCGTGCCCAAATTACTAGAGCACCTTCGACCAGAAGAGCCGAGGGCCGAGGCAAATTTATTCCTGAAAGGTTTGCACTGGTACACACTTCGGCTTGTCCAGTTACCAGGACAATGTGAGTGTGGCTCTACAAAAAGCCACAGTGAGCAAGGAAATCCCATGATCTGAAAGAGCATGTTTGCCTACAGTGGGAAAGCCTGGCCTCCCCAGTGCAGGAGCTTGTAAGAGGCGCCAGAAGAACACATGGAACCGAAAAGCGGCGCCTGCATTCACTTGAAGGCATTAACACTGAAGGACTTGCTGTTATACTTTGTTTTTTAGGAAAACATTCTGTAGGAAATGCCCATTAAGCATCCCCCTAAATTTCATTCCCCCCAGGGTTTGGCATACTCTAAATGGCTGCGCCTGAGGCCAGTGTGCCCTGGGGACTGGGTCCCAGGGCTGCGTCCCATCAGCATCACAACAGCACTAACAGCAGCCTCTGTGGGAGAAGGGGCTCTGCTCCAAGCTCTGCCACCTTCCTATTCCACCTCCGCTCACCCTGGCTTGTTAACACCCTTCCTCTTCTTGGAGGAGAAATAAATCATTTAGGTGTATACATTATGAATGTGGTTATATTTAAAAAAAAAAAAAAGGAAAGAAAAACACACATGTTAACGAGAATGGGAAAGTCTCAGTAGAAATAAGGATAGCAATTGTAAGGAAGGATTCTTTTCTGAAGGAAGTACTTTTAAATATCTCTGTTACATGATGTTTCTTATCAAAATATTCAAAACTGAAAAACAGTTTCGAAACATTTCTTGTTTTCTGACACTACCTCAGCTCTTTGATTTGAGCTATCAAGAAGTATTACGTGGAAACATGCATTCATCTGGTTGGTCAATAAATTACCTTTTGCAGCTTATTATGTTTAAGACGCTTGCTGGATTATAGTGGGGAGTGTGAATGTTCAAGAGTTGGCGGTTGCTTTCAATGACAACGTGGCTTACTCGGGAAGAGAAATGTTCCTGAAAAGCTGTAAGAAAGGCAGTCCGAATGAAGTTTGGTCTAGAGAATTGCCAAAGTGTGCTATCAGGGTTGAAGAGAAGGCAAGGACGAGTCCAGGGATTCCAGTGAGCTTCCTAAAAAGGGAGCATTTAGGCTGGGCCTGGAAGGATAAGCAAAGTCTCACTAAATCAACAAACACAAGTGCTTGCTCCACTCCAGGCTCCATGCTGGGCACCCTCACAGATGACAGATCACTGGTGACCAAGTTGGGGATAGGGTTGGGAGAACAGGGTTTACTGTGGAAGGCCAGGGATGAGGGTTGGGGAGGGGGAGGGAAGGAGATGGGATGGTGGCAGGATAAGTAGTTCTAGTCAGAGGAAACAGGTAAGACCACGAGGGATTTCATTTTGGATTCAACACAGGAAAGAACAATTCAATGATATGATGAGAGCACTAAAAATGTTCAAACTTTGATCTAATAATTCCATTTCTGAGAATTAATCCTTAGGAAATAACCCGAAAGATCAAAAAGTTTCAATGCATAAAGATTTTCACTGAAACACTAGTTTCCACAAAAGTCTGATTATGTGGGTGCCTGGGTGGCTCAGTCGGTTAAACGTCTGACTTCAGCTCAGGTCATGATCTCACGGTCTGTGAGTTCGAGCCCTGCGTTGGGCTCTGTGCTGGCAGCTCAGAGCCTGGAACCTGCTTCAGATTCTGTGTCTCCCTCTCTCTCTGCCCCTCCTC